ACAACACTATGGTAGACGCACATGCTGAACATGACTCAGAACTGCAACAATTAAAACTCAAAATAGCGGACCTGGAAAACTGCTCGAGTAGGAACAACATAAAATTCAGAGGCATCCTAGAATCAGTCGTACCTGAAGCCTTGACTCCCTATCTCCAACAAATGATGAAACATCTCATACCATCACTTATGGATGAAGAACTAGCTATAGACAGAGTGCATAGAATTCCAAAACCCACATTTCTCCCTGCCGCAGTCCCCAGAGACGCTTTGGCTAGAATACATTTCTACCATGTCAAAGAAAAAAATAATGGCAGCTACTAGAGCTCAGACATCCCTTCCTCAACCCCTTGCCGGAATCAAACTATACGCTGACCAATCTAAAGAAATGCTTAACAACAGGAAGAAATTAATCTTAATCACTAAAGTGCTCCACAATCATGGCATAGGCTATCAGTGGTGCTTCCCCACCAAACTTACCATCAAACGACAGGGCAAGTTCTTTACTATAAGAACCTTGGAAGCAGGCATTGACCTTCTGAAACAATGAAATATATTACCAGTGGCAGAACCTTAATGCACTCCACAACACCCTCAACACATGGAAGGGGATTGGAACTAACAAGGGATCCAGATCCATTACTTTACCTCACCATAGCTCTTCTTTCTTTCCTACACTAATGGCTGGAATGGCTCGGCCCTGTTCTCACATTTGACAGAATGTCACCTTTTTTCCACAATGACTATATGCTACTGTCATGGTTAATTGCTCACCCCAATTAACAGTAGCTAATTTAGCTACCCATTTATCTTGTTTTTTTCACAAGAATTTTTCATACCGTCTTTAATATATAAATACCATGGCACCAACCACTCTCCTGCCCCCCTATCCCCTTTTTCTTCCTCATTACAACAGAATCTGTACAACCTACTAGCAAGCCGCTCAACCTACGGTCACAAAACTTTCACAAATACGCCATTACCTCGCTCGAACTCTTCATAGGCCTCAACAGTGATTACTCCCACACACAGAAACAGAGTACCAGTAGATCTAATACCTCACTTTTAGGGATTCCTAAGCTCTTATCACCTATGGCTCTTAAAATAATATCCCTCAATGTAAGGGGCCTCAACTCCCCCTTCAAGAGATCAAATCTAATCAAGAAGCATGCTTGCTTCAAGCGGACATAATCCTCATCCAGGAAACGCACTTTGCCAACTCAAAAATTCTTAACTTCAACATCAAGCAATTCCCAACCCTTTATATGGCGACCAATTCCAAAAAAAAATATGGCGTTCTGAGAGCAATAAAAAACACTGTGAACTTCTGATTCACCTCAGAATATGCTGACCCCAAGGCCGATTTCACATTCTGACATGCCTAATGAACAACACCCAATATACGTTAGTTAACGCATACGAACCAAACACTGACCAAATAAAATGTTGTAAACACCTACTTGCCAAGATTTTTCAATTCAGGAAAGGAAGCCAAATCATAGGAGGAGACTTTAACATAATTGGAAATACACGTCTAGACTCTTCCTCAGTAAAACGCCCCTTGGCCCACTCCATAAACCAGTTTCTACACACCAATGACCTATATGACATATGGAGATGTCAACACGGAGACCGAGAGAGACTACTCTTACTACTCTCCCTCCCAACGCTCATACTCAAGGATAGATTTTTTTCTCTCCGACAAATGTACTCTGCAAAATATCACCTCTTCCGAAATAGGCACAATTACATGGTCCGATCATGCTCCCATAAGTACCACTGTGGGACACGTGAACAAACATTACCCACCACGTCCATGGAGACCCAACTCCTCCCTGCTGGCTGACCCTACCAATCACAAAACTATTACCGACGCTCATACTCTTTTTTTTTTTTTTTTACATAAACGACACACCGGATATCTCTATTATTACTCTATGGGCCACCTACAAAGCCTACATGAGAGGGATGCTCCTAAAAATGAACTCACAAATCCGTACCCAGAGAAGTCATGAGATTGAAGAGGTTTTAGCAAACATCAAAAAGGTTGAAGAACTGAACAAGCTCAACCCCCTCCGATACCAACTCATCCTTTCTGGAGCTCAGAAACAAACTTTGCTCATTACTATTCTTTAAATATTGACCTCAACCTACGAAAAACCAAAGCGAAATACTGCTCCCTAGGAAATAAAGCTGGTTCACTGCTAGCCAAAATGGTAAAAAACCAACGGCTCAAAACCAAGATAAACTTGATACTACACCCCATCTCCAACGCTCCACTAACTAACCCTCGGGACATTGCTAACATCTTTGCCAACTACTATCAATCTCTCTACAACCTCAAAGATAACACAGCAACATCCCAACCAACTTCCAACTCAATACAACATTTCTTAAAGTCAATATCATTACCATTAGAGATGAGCGAATCGAACATGACGAAGTGGAATTCGTTCCGAAGATTTGGAAAAATTCTATTCGCGACGAATCCGAAGATTAGCAAACTTCGGATGCACGAATCGAATTTTCCCAAAAATGGCGGCGACATGTGTGGCGACGGAGAAAATGGACAGAGAAGATGGGGCGGGGATCTCTGGGAAGGCGCGCAGACAAGGCGCGCTGACCCATAATGCATTCATGACATGTGATCGCATTAGCCAATCAGCAGCCAGCCAGCACTGTGTAATGGTGGAGCTATAAATCGCGGCCATCTTAGAATTCTCCATTAGCCTCCGTCATTCAAGAGAGACAGACCTGTGTGTATTAAGGGACAGAGTTAGGGCCACAGAGACTTTAGGGCCACAGAATCGTTACTCAGGGACACAGAATCGTTACTCAGGGACACAGAATCGTTACTCAGGGACACAGAATCGTTACTTAGGGCCACAGCTATCAAAGAATCAAAAATTTAAAGTGACATACACCCTTTTTTTTTTTTGGTGGCTGTCGTGCACAGTTGGTGCTGCAGTTTGCCGATTGTGCAAAATAAACTGACTTTCTGCTTCACAACCACTATTGTACGTTCAAAGAGTTAAATCCATTTACACGCCGGCTGGCGGTAATATTTTTTGGGTGATTAGTGCATTCCAGTGACACAAACGTACAGTTTCCAGCCAACGGCAAGCTGCAATTGACCGATTGTGTACAATAAACTGACTTTCTGCTTCACAACCACTATTGTACGTTCAAAGAGTTAAATCCATTTACACGCCGGCTGGCGGTAATATTTTTTGGGTGATTAGTGCATTCCAGTGACAGAAACGTACAGTTTCCAGCCAACGGCAAGCTGCAATTGACCGATTGTGTACAATAAACTGACTTTCTGCTTCACAACCACTATTGTACGTTCAAAGAGTTAGATCCATTTACACGCCGGGTGGCGGTAATATATTTTGGGTGATTAGTGCATTCCAGTGACATAAACGTACAGTTTCCAGCCAACGGCAAGCTGCAATTGACCGATTGTGCTAAATAAACTGACTTTCTGCTTCACAACCACTATTGTACGTTCAAAGAGTTAAATCCATTTACACGCCGGCTGGCGGTAATATTTTTTGGGTGATTAGTGCATTCCAGTGACATAAACGTACAGTTTCCAGCCAACGGCAAGCTGCAATTGACCGATTGTGCTAAATAAACTGACTTTCTGCTTCACAACCACTATTGTACGTTCAAAGAGTTAAATCCATTTACACGCCGGCTGGCGGTAATATTTTTTGGGTGATTAGTGCATTCCAGTGACATAAACGTACAGTTTCCAGCCAACGGCAAGCTGCAATTGACCGATTGTGCTAAATAAACTGACTTTCTGCTTCACAACCACTATTGTACGTTCAAAGAGTTAAATCCGGTTTTATTTTTGGGGTGCTTATTGAATTAAAGAGTATGTCAGACAACACGCAGAGGAGTGGCAGAGGAGGCAATGTTTCAGGAGCGAGCAGACGTGGCAGCAGAGGAAGGGGTCGAGGCAGCACTAGTCGCAGCCAGAGGCCAGTGCTCCCGGTGTCATCCAGCGGTCGTGTCGTGTCTCCACCGACAACCCTGCCGTCATCGATTGGTTGACTCGGTCGTCTTCCTCTTCCCAGGTCACCTCTGACACCTACAGCCAACGGTCGGTGGGTATGTCAGACACAACCGTTAGTTGGCATGGCCCGGGAGCAAGCCCACTGAAATCACGTGTCCTCGACCTGCCCCTGTCCTTTGGTGTTCCCTCACCAAGCGAAGTATCGCATGCTGTGGGCTCAGCCCCACTGTCCATACTGATTCATGGCCCCCTGTACCGGCTCCTCATGAACGTGGTTCAGCGGGTTTGCATCACTTAACGGCAAATCGTTGACAAATGCTGGGACGTTCAGTGTTGTGCGCATTAAGCCAGACACCAAAGGGCAGCACAGACCTTTTATTACTCGCTCAAGCATGGCTGAACAAAACCAGTCTCTACCACAAATTGGACCCAGACCTGCCCAGGGTCTCGTAACTAGATTGCACGGAGGAGTAGAGTCCGTTATCGGAATTAAATAGACAAAACGCCACACCAAAAAGAGTGGCCATTTCCAACACTTATTCCAGAAAGAGGAACAACCCGTTTCATATACGGCCCGTAGACGTTTCACGTCTGCCACATTCAGTCGATTTAAGACGCAAGCTCCACTTCCTGTGGTCTCTGACCGTCGATATACCTTTAAGTTTCAGCTTTGAAGCTATATTCCCTCCGGAGCACTGACACTGGTGCCCTTCTGTCAACATGCCTTTAAGTTTCAGTTTTCAACCATATTCCCCACAGAAGCCAAACTCTTGGGTATCCCAGAAGCTGCTCAGCGGGTCAGGGCAATAAAGCTCCCGGTTCGCAGGTTGTTCCGTCTTATGGATGGAAGTACGACGGTATATGATCTTCTTCGCACCCACGGCATTACCTCATAAAATTTCTGCATTGCATCTGCAATCACAACGCTGACTTCCCGGATCGCCACTCAGCCATTGGACTCTTGATAGTCGTCTCCCCACACTGCTGCTGGGGGGACTTTTTAACCTAAGCCTGTGTATGGCCTTCAATTGAAGCTGCTTCCGCTCCGCCACTCTGCCATTGGACTCTTGATAGTCGTCTCCCCACGCTGCTGCTGGGGGGACTTTTTAACATAGGCCTCTGTATGGCCTTTAATTGAAGCTGCTTACGCTCCGCCACTCTGCCATGGGCCTCTTGGGTATCCCAGAAGCTGCTCAGCGGGTCAGGGCAATAAAGCTCCCGGTTCGCAGGTTGTTCCGTCTTATGGATGGAAGTACGACGGTATATGATCTTCTTCGCACCCACGGCATCACCTCATAGAATCTCTGCATTGCATCTGCAATCACAACGCTGACTTCCCGGATCACCACTCAGCCATTGGACTCTTGATAGTCGTCTCCCCACACTGCTGCTGGGGGGACTTTTTAACCTAGGCCTGTGTATGGCCTTCAATTGAAGCTGCTTCTGCTCCGCCACTCTGCCATTGGACTCTTGATAGTCGTCTCCCCACGCTGCTGGAATTTTTAACATAGGCCTCTGTATGGCCTTCAATTTTAGCTTGCTTACGCTCCGCCACTCTGCCATGGGCCCCTGTACCGCCTCCTCATGCTGCTGCCAGGCCCGTAATCTGCCATGGGCCCCCGTACCGACTCCTCATGCTGCTGCCAGGCCCGTAATCTGTCATGGGCCCCTGTACCGCCTCCTCATGCTGCTGCCAGGTCCAGAGTGTGTCATGGGTCCCTGTACGGCCTCCCATTGCTGCTGTCTCCATCGCCCACACTCTGCCATGTGCCACTTTCAGGTCTCCTCACACTGCTGGTAGGTTCCATTTTGTCATAGGGTGCTGTATGGCCTCCCATTGCTGCTGCCTCCACCGCCACACTGTGGCTCCACACTCTGGTTTTGGCCCCGTGACTGCCCAAATGAGTGAAGTGTGCGGTGATTCTAAGATCGACGGCACTCATCTGCATGTCATACTGACTGACAGTATTATTTCTCTTCCCCAGCAGACTCCAAGGGCATTTAAATTAAAGGTACAGTGTTCTGCACTAATATAAAGGCTCTCTGAAGCCTAGAAACACCCTTTTTATAAGTTAAATTCGCAGCGAATATATTCGGCTCGAAGCGAATTTATTCGGCGAATTCGGCGAATCAGCCGAACCAAATTTTTGAATAATTCGCTCATCTCTAATTACCATCTTTATCTCCAGGTCAATTCCAAGGAATCTCAGCACCATTCTCCCCCAAATAAATTGAAACAATTAAAACTCTACCACTCCACAAATCTCCAGGAGGAGACAGATACTTCAATGAATACTACAAATGTTTTGCCAATATCCTCTCTCCATACCTAACGAACCTATTCAATTATGCCGCAACCTCGTGCTCCTTACCTAACAAAATGCTACAATCTATTATCACAACTAGAGATGAGCGAATTATTCAAAAATTCGATTCGGCTGATTCGCCGAATTTGCGGGAGAAATTTGATTCGATGCGAATTTATTCGCCGCGAATTTAACTTATTAAAAGGGTTTCTAGGCTTCAGAGAGCCTTTATATTAGTGCAGAACACTGTACCTTTAATTTAAATGCCCTTGGAGTCTGCTGGGGAAGAGAAATAATACTGTCAGTCAGTATGACATGCAGATGAGTGCCGTCGATCTTAGAATCACCGCACACTTCACTCATTTGGGCAGTCACGGGGCACGACGAAGGAGAAGAAGAAGAATGAAAAGAAGAAGAAGAAGAATGAAAAGAAGATGAAGAAGAATGAAAAGAAGAAGAAGAAGAATGAAAAGAAGAAGAAGAAGAATGAAAAGAAGAATGAAAAGAAGAAGAAGAAGAAGAATGAAAAGAAGAATAAGAAGAAGAATGAAAAGAAGAATGAGAAGAATGAAAAGAAGAATGAAAAGAAGAAGAAGAAGAATGAAAAGAAGAAGAAGAATGAAAAGAAGAATGAAAAGAAGAAGAAGAAGAATGAAAAGAAGAAGAATGAAAAGAAGAATGAAAAGAAGAAGAAGAATGAAAAGAAGAAGAAGAAGAAGAATGAAAAGAAGAATGAGAAGAAGAATGAAAAGAATGAAAAGAAGAAGAAGAAGAATGAAAAGAAGAAGAAGAAGAATGAAAAGAAGAAGAAGAATGAAAAGAAGAAGAAGAATGAAAAGAAGAAGAAGAATGAAAAGAAGAATGAAAAGAAGAAGAAGAAGAATGAAAAGAAGAAGAAGAAGAATGAAAAGAAGAATGAAAAGAAGAAGAAGAAGAAGAATGAAAAGAAGAAGAAGAAGAAGAATGAAAAGAAGAAGAAGAATGAAAAGAAGAACAAGAAGAAGAATGAAAAGAAGAATGAAAAGAAGAAGAAAAAGAATGAAAAGAAGAAGAAGAATGAAAAGAAGAAGAAGAAGAATGAAAAGAAGAAGAAGAAGAATGAAAAGAAGAATGAAAAGAAGAAGAAGAATGAAAAGAAGAAGAAGAAGAATGAAAAGAAGAAGAAGAAGAATGAAAAGAAGAAGAAGAATGAAAAGAAGAAGAAGAAGAATGAAAAGAAGAATGAAAAGAAGAAGAAGAAGAATGAAAAGAAGAATGAAAAGAAGAAGAAGAATGAAAAGAAGAAGAAGAATGAAAAGAAGAAGAATTAAAGTACAGCAAAAAGTGTATCTGCAGAGAGCTCCGCTATTTCTGACAGTTCTCTGACAGTTCCTTCACATTTACAGCGGTTGAAACATTGTATCTATTTATTTCCGAATAAAAACATCTGTATCCTAAATTGAAACAAATAGATACAATGTTTCAACCGCTGTAAATGAACTGTCAGAACTGTCAGAAATAGCGGAGCTCTCTGCAGTGACACTTTTGCCGGCTGATCGGGAAAAATTTGATTCGTGCACCCGAAGTTTGCTAAAATTCGGATTCGATGCGAATCGAATTTTTCCTGATATTCGAAACGAATTACACTTCGCCAGGTTCGATTCGCTCATCTCTAATCACAACCATCCCTAAACCTGGCAAAGATCCCCAACTCATTCAAAATTACAGACCCATTTCTCTTATTAACACAGACATAAAACTGTTTGCAAAACTAATTGCCCACAGACTACTACCTCTCCTCCCAAATCTGATCCATCTTGACCAAGTTGAATTTATACCAGGATGACAAGCCCCGGACACTACTAGAAGAATAATCTCTCTAATCCTTTGTGTAGAAAATCTAAAAACGCCTTCTCTGCTTTTCTCTTTGGATGCAGAGAAGCCATTTGACCGTATACATTGGGGATTTATGAGGGAAGTTTTACAAAAAGGTGGTATTATTGGTTCGCTACTAAATGCCATAATGTCTCTCTACTCTCATCCATCAGCCAGGGTCTTCAACGAAGGTATACTATCCCAACCTTTCAACATCTCCAACGGAACCAGACAAAGTTGCCCTTTGTCCCCTATAGTTTTCGCCTTGCTTATCGAACCACTAGCAAGCAAATTAAGAGAAGAGTCCCTTTTCACAGGCATATCATGCCAAGGCTCAGAGCACAAAATCAGCCTATTTGCTGTCAATATAATTTTAATGATCTCCCAACCTTCCCAATCCCAACCGTACATTAGTTTTATACTTAACCAATACTCCGAAGTCTCATACTACAAGCTTAACGAAAACAAATCTCTAATACTAAACCTTCACACACCTTTGAAAACCCAATTATGCCTTTCAAAACAATTCCCATTTGTATGGTTCAACCACTCCATTCCCTATCTAGGAATTCATTTGACTGCCTCCACTGCACAGATATTTGATGCCAATTACAAACCACTTCTACAATACCTTACAAAAGAAATTCACTCACTCACTCCGAACATTTGGCCTCTCTAAACTAGGCCAAATTGCGACTCTAAAAATGATTATTTTACCCAAACTTTTATATATTTTCCATACACTCCCTATCCCAGCTCCCAAAACCTTATTTGACAACATTCAAAAACAATTTTTCCAAATTTTTATGGAATCGAAGCGTCCTAGATGTGTCACCAACTTTCTAATGTGCCCATTTCAAAGGGGAGGAGCCGGACTCCCACATATATACTCATACTACCTAGCTACATTACTCGATCAAATATACTACTGGTGGCACCGATCTAAAGAATCAGTTTGGTCCCTTATGGAAACAACTATGCTCTTTCCCCTCTACCTACAAAGTATCCTTACTAGATCCTCGACAGAACACACTCGTACCTTCACCAAACACCCATGCATCTTAGCTTCCCTAACAGCATGGTCTACCTTCCTCTCATACCAATTCACAGAAGTCAGTTCAATACCAATACCCATTAACGCCCTACATGCACACATACCCTACCTTAACCTTAACACATGAACAAATTGTAACATTACTAAGATTCTAGACCTACACTCCCCAGAAGGAATATTATCTATCCAAGATATCCAACACAAATCCTCCCTTCCCATTACAGAACACTTTAACTATACGAAGATCATCCACTGTATTCACTCTGAAAAATCCCTCCTACCTCTAATATCCCAACCCCTATACTTCAATACCTATTCCAGACCAAATACCCAGGAAAGGGGATCTCCCTGTTCTACTCTTTGCTCACCAAAATAAAACTTCCGATGAGAACATCTTCTATCCATAATTGGGAAGTAGCTCTCTCCAGATCCTTCCCTGACCAAACATGGAGTAAAACTTTTACCCTGACATACAAATCCTCCCATTGCACCTCACACTGGGAATCTTACCTCAAGATCCTCCACCATTGGTATTTAACTCCAATCCGTCTATCAAAAATATACCCCGCCCAATCCCCACAATGCTGGCGTCAATGTGGAGATTTAGGCTCCCTGCCACATTTACTATGGTTCTGCAAATCGATCCAATCTTTCTGGAATAATGTTTTCAAATTAATCTAACAAGCTCCAATGGCCGCCCAGACCCTGCTCTAGCTTTATTTCACATACCCTTAGACACCATCCCTCCCCAGATCCGTTGCCTAGTAATCCACATTCTATTAGCAGCTAAAAATAATATCACCAGACTATGGAAATCGCTCACATCTCCATCAATCACTATGGTAATTAATTATATAAATTACCAGTGCAATATGGAATGCAGATTCGCTATCGCTAGGCTATCATATCCAAAATGTGCCTACCTTTGGTCTCAATTACCACAGGTTCCTTAAATCTACTGCATTGACAGCTGTTTCTGTTGATGTCCCTTTGTCTTTCTTTTCTTACCCTTCCCCCTCCCTCTATCCCCCCAAGGTTCTTAGTTGTTTTGTAACTGACTGAAACTAATTCAAAACCCAAATCTCTATATATACAACTGTATTCATTGCTATACTGGCTAAATATTGAATATGTTGCTATATACTCGAATATCTGTACAACAAGAACCACTGGGTTCATTTGTCTTTTCTCTGTTATAATAAATGTTATAAAATCTTCATTAAAGATTATTTGAATATAGAAAAAAAGTTAAATCACCCCGCCCCTCATGCTTGCTCATAAAGGCGAACTCATGTGTCAGTCCCACACGCATACGTAAACAGCAAACCACACATGAGGTATCACTGCAAACATCAGATTGAGGGCAGTAATTCTAGAACCAGACATCCTGTGTAAATCTAAAGTAGTAACCTGTAAAGGCTTTTTAAAGCATCGCTTGCAGGTATGTGCAGTTTTAAAGTGTCACATGTTTGGTATCTATTTACTCGATGTAACATCATCTTTTATATTTTACCAAACAATTGGCTATTATATTGTAATTTTGTACATTCAACTTCAAAATGTGTAATAAAATTGCATTTGAAAAACTACTGCGCAAATAC